CTGCTGAAGATGTAAAACAAACATGTGTAAGATAATTTCAGTATATCAACACTAGTTTGCAAACCATTCTTCCCCCAGAATGCAACAAGTGTGAGATGGAAACTTTCAACCTCCATACTCCTAGCCACAAGAGAGCAAACAAACAGCTCTTTGTCCTCAACACAAACCATATATGACTAGTGCCGGTAAGGTCAAAGGTTATTTAATTTTCTGCTTAGTTCTCATCAAACAGCTCTTACATTATTGAATTGACCACAATCAAGTTAAGGGAGGGGGATGACCATGTCTAGACATTACCTCAGATAACCTTCACTTTAATACTAATTGACTATGGATGGGGATTCAAGGATGAAACTGTGATATTAGTGTATTTACAGTATACTTCTACCCTTCCTCTTTCCCGGGTAAAAAATAGAGTAACACATAACTTTGTGATTGAAACACGACAATGTAGAGCTGTGTTTCATCGGCATGACTATGAAAACTTGTACCGTGGAAGCACTGGCTGCTCCCAGTCTGTGGAATGCTCTCCCCGACCAAATGAGAGCAAAAAAGGCCTCAAAACCCATCTCTTCAAAAGAGCCTTTGCCTAGACCTTTTTATTAATTTTTGTATTGCTTTTTATTAATTCTACCGTGTTGTGTAATGTTTATTTATATTGGTCATGCTCACTACTTGTAGCACTTCGGGATTTGAAATCAAATATGAAGTGCTTTATAAATGGAACCCATTATTATTATTATTACTTATAGATTAAAAAGTGTAAGACCTCAAATTGAGCCTTGAGGAACACCACTATTCAATGTAATAGTTTTAAGATGACCATTCGTTCTTTAATACAACATTTGAAATCCATATGTTGAATAATTTGACTTTTTGTTTCAAATTCTAAATTACTCTCTTAACTACTTTCTACTGTTTCTGGGTACAAAACGTGACCACTTAAATATTAGATGCTGTTTTATTTTAAAGTTATAATGGAATATAGCCTGTTATCTAGAAAGAACATTATAGGAACTTTCTAAGGAAAGAAAATGCACGCTTTTCTTTAAATACATATCTTAATAAGGTCCTTAAAACAGAAACAATTAGGATAAGAAACAGTACATATTTTTCTGTCACTGAACCTTAAACCCAGAAGTTAATTTGCTTGAGTGTAACTTGGATTTCTTACTTGATAATTGTGTCTTCAGGCTTTTGCCCTGGCTTAAAAGGCGTTTACTTTGATGAGCTGGGGCTGTCTCACAATCAATCATGTGCATAGTTTTAATAAGACTTCATCTTCATAGTTATAGTTGGAGCCCACCGGGGGCTTCTTTTCACTGTCTGCCAAAGTGAGAGATTAAAGTTGTCTACAGTACAGCTTCTGACATCATCTTTTTACGCTCACTGGACAGTGAGGGTCAAGGCTGAGGCTCCCCTTTCTGGACCAGAACCACTACACTGCAGTTTACCCACAATCCTCTGCTCTAAATTTCTCAGCACCTTTGAGGCTGTGGCTTGAACCATCCTTTGACGCATTAAGATTAGGAGACAGGTTGGGATTTACCTTTACTTATTTACTTCTGTGTGTCCTTTTATCACTGTGACACTTGGTGATTAAATAAATTAACTTCAGTTATAAAGTTTAATAACGTTTTTATAAAAGTTTAATTTGCTTCCATATGTGCATATAGTTGCGTTTAAATTGATTTCAAAAGTTTACTAACGCCAGATGGTATTTGTTTTTCTTGAAGGAAATGAGTCTAAATATTGAGTAATTAGTCAGGGCACAAAGATCATGAGCTTCTCAGTGTCACATGTCAATGGAAAATCGCATTGCAAACAGGATTTCCCCGTCAGGTGATAAAGCTACATGAATATTTGTATTTTGCCTTTTTGTAAAATTGAGTTAAATGAACGCAATAGAAGGTTAAGACGCAGAGTTGACTAAAGGCCTTATGCTTCAAACCGCTACATGTAACCACTGCACAGACGATATCTGCAGCTAGGAAGCAAAGTAGAAGACTCAGAAGTCACAAGAAACTAGACTCCTTTTTTTTTAATATTCTTCCTTCTTCAGCTTTTTTGTCTGAATACATATATGCAGTTAACTGAATGACCCCTGTAAAGCATACATTTTATTTGTCAGGTTGAAACATTTTAAGCTTGGAAACGTATGATGGCTCTTAATCTACATCTATTCGCTTCCCCTTGCATCTATGGAGTTTTTAATTTTTTAAAATTTATATTATATCTGTCATCTGACTTCTTTGATTCCTGAATGAAAAGTCAATTGCTTCTTGCAATTTATTTTGGAATTGCTCTAAGGTCATGCACATGTTGAGAGGTTATCATCTGATGCTAACTTAATTAGCTTGACTTAGCTAACGAGCCTTGCATGTCTTAGCTGGATTTTAGATTGATGGGAATGATTAAATTATAACTGATTAAGTATGTTGATAATATTTGAAATTCAGTAATGGATGCGAACTTTGTGATGGACAGGAATACACACACACACACACACACTAGTTCAGGTGCCATACTTTACATACACAAGCAAAACTGTCATCAGGATAACTCAAGGGTCTCCGATCTCCCAGGTGCTCCTGTGAACAGACTCCTTTCACTACTCGCAGAAAATAATGTGCTCCGACTGATTTAGCAGCAAAAATTGTATGATAGCATTTCCACTAATTACATCTGCTGTGCACTGACGGAGAGGACAGACTGAACCTCATCGTTCTCGTCCTCTGTGTACTTCCTTTCTGGGTCAGCTCTACGTTGACTGTGACTATTGTATTTGTAAAATTGGAAGAAAATTAGACAGTAACAAAATCAAAATACTTTGTTGGTGCACTTTAGTAGGCTGTTAAAGTGCATCTACTTGGAGTCATTCATGTTATCTTTTCTGATCATTTTTATATGACTATCTTAAACAAACAACAACATTCAAGCACTCATACAGAGTTGTTTTCTATTTAATGACACTTTGCTCACAGCTCTATCACTTCAGTAACTTATTTTCTTACAATGAAATCCATTGTGCACCAAATTTGTTGTCCTTTTTAATTCTACGTGTGCATTTTGATTATTTTTCATACCACTGGGGCAGTCCATTTTCATACATTTAATATTTCATCAAGGTAGCAAGTGCGCACGCACACAATGTAATCCAGTTAAAATAGCTATAATATTTAATTCATATGAGAATCATTAAAAGTGCAGTGGTGCCGTGTCCATTATGCATTCCTTTTCTAGCAGGATAAAACAGTCCTCAGATGTGGGAGCTGCACTTTGAAGTGTTGTCTCAGAAGCAGACCAACTCTTACAGGAAGTCCCTGATGTTTAAAACATGGCATGCAGGGGGACTAAAAAAGGTGAGCTTGGCCCAAAGATGAGGCAAAAATGGCCAGCCAGGAATATGGCTAGATCTGATGCACACATCGCACATCAAATAAACACAAAGCAGTCAAATATACACAAGGGTAATGCTGAAATATACCCACAGATACACACTAACAAAGACAGAGTTGAGAACGGGTTGACCTTCAAGTAGCATCGAAATCTTTTGGGCACAGCAGTATAAATACATCTCTGATCCAGCTAAGTGAGACTGTAGGTTATTATAATGCTTGGTTGTGATGAGAAGTCCTTTCTGCAGAGATCCTGTACACATAGTATCAAGACAGGCATTCTCTATGTAATGAAATCATCCACCATGGACACGTGTGGGACAAATTGCAATTTAACAGCTGAGAGTAAACATTAGCTTATTGTGCTTAGTGTTAAACTGACTCCTTAAACACATCGTCTCCACCACTGCCTTGTTACATTTAATTTAAATTCTGGTGTGTTTACAGTGTTAGTGCATAAAAAACATGTTTAGAATCCTTGGTTATTATTAGCAATAATCAGCTGCAGGAATAAAAGTATTCTGAGGATTCCTTCTGATTTCACTCCTGACCTAAAACAGGGATGCATATTATATGATTTTAAAGAGGCCCCTTTATACTTTTTGGGGTTTTCCCTATTCCTGTAGTGTGTTATATATATCACACCCTGATGTAGCCCTTTGTTTACTTCCGTATCATATTGACATCACGATGTAACTTATATTGGCTAGCACTCCAACACATTGTAGTTGATACAGGAGAAGGGGCGAGGATGTCTGTAAGCGGTTTACCAATTACAGAGTCGGCCAACTAACCAATCAGAGCGGACTGGGCTCTGGTTTCAGACAGAGGGTGAAAAGAGGTGCTGCAGCGGAGGCAGTATGAGAAGAATAAAGACCTGTTTGAACATTAAAGCATTTGAACAACACAAAATACAAATATGTACCTGAAAATGAGCAGAATAGGGCCACTTAACTGAAGCCATATAAACACAGCTGTATTGTGTGTTAGCATTGTTAGCTGTAGTGCTACATCAACACATTTGATTGAACCAAAATATCAACCATATTGATTTGTTCTGGTAGGATTTTAAAATGTCAACTTTCCCTATTTAATAAGCCATTTGATTTAGCAGATTTGTTTTTATCATCTAGACTAGAGTTTGGGATTACAGGTTGATTTCCTCTGATCTGCGTGAAGTTTGCTTTGCCCATTACTTTTCTGAGAGCAATTCTGGAAATGCTTGTATAGCCCTTTTTTGTGGCCTAACAGTAACTAGGACATGATAACAACTCTGTGCGAGTGCAATCTGTGTGTTGTATTTTCTCACACATATACACAGATTACATTTCGGTGTGTTTCCCTATGTGAGTTTTGATGAGCCTTGCAAGGGAAGTGGGTGTCATGAAGATAACCTGGGAGAATGTGCTGAGTGGGGCTGGATGTTCAGCAGGAAGGAAAGTGTGGTGATCAACAAGCAGGAACTCTCATTCTGTCAACTTATTACCCCCTGCACTCGCACACTGCAACCCCCCTAACCGTCATCTGTATTTCTGTCTCTGTCAGGCTTTTTTCCTGACCGAAAACATACACACACAGGAAGCGGCCCGTGCGGCTCCCAAATAAGCTGATGTGACATGCCTTCCTTTCCGATATTTCTGCGAAAGCTCAGGAGGGAGGCTGAGCACCTCTCTTCTTCTTCCTCTTCTTCTCACAGCCGTAGCCGTGACAGTTCATGTTCTTCTGTTAGAAGTTTTTGCTGCACCTATGGTTGGAGACGCTGCCACTCTGGGAGCCATGAATCGCTGTTGTGTGGTCAAAGTGATCACCATGACTGAGATACAACTTCTAAAGGTAGGGGGGAGCGCCTCAGAAACAGCACTGGCAAATCAGCTGTGTGTGACTTTGTGTGCAGTCGTTTCTGCTTGCATGAGATCAATCGTCCGAGTTTTATAAAAGGCATGCACTTACAGTACAACCAGAATAAGTGAGTAGCCACCGTGGAATGCAGATTCTGTGATCCGTTTGCTATCCCAGTCTTATCTTCCCTCACATTTCACAACCTAGGGTGCGTGGTTACGGATATTTACTGGTCAGCAAAAACACTGTGAGGATGTCTGAGAAGGTTTATTCTTCTTCCACTTTCATCTTATCTCCGTAAATAGGGATATTTCAGCATTGCTACTGTCAATTTGTCGTAGAATACACACATTTTGCAGAAATGAATCCTAAACCTCCTCTTAGGTTTTGTCCATAATTTGTTCAGCTTGTTAATGTCACCAACACCCAGTGTTTCATAAGTTTTAGGATTTTTCTGAAGTGAAAGAAGAACTTGGGCAAGACTGAAACTGAGTTAGGCAAGAGCTTTCCATTTTCGAAAGGAACACCTGGGAGTGTGTGTGACAATGGAGCAGCAATTTATTGGGACTACAGAAATACAAATAGAGGACAAGTATGTAAGTTAAACAGATACATATTCTATATTACTACTGGAAAAAACATGTGTGATGCTCTTCACAGTAGAGCATCTGTTCAATTTGATCAACCTGCTGCATTCGTGTTTAGTTAAGATCCCTGCAAGAACACAAATTGTGTTAGTGAAAGAATTAGGAGAAGATTGATTAATACAGAAAGAGAGGAATAGGCTCTGCGTGTTGGAGAAGGCTTTTCAGACATCTTTATTTTACTGGTTTAAAAGTCTCTAATGAGAATAATTAAGTTAGGGAAATGCAGCTGATCTCCTAATCACAGTCAAGTTTGTATATTTTTACTGCAGGAAGGCAAGGCAAGGCAAGGCAAGGCAAGGCAAGGCAAGGCAAGGCAAGGCAAGGCAAGGCAAGGCAAGGCAAGGCAAGGCAAGGCAAGGCAAGGCAAGGCAGGCAAGGCAAGGCAAGGCAAGGCAAGGCAAGGCAAGGCAAGGCAAGGCAATGCAAGGCAAGGCAAGGCAAGGCAAGGCAAGGCAAGGCAAGGCAAGGCAAGGCAAGGCAAGGCAAGGCAAGGCAAGGCAAGGCAAGGCAAGGCAAGGCAAGGCAAGGCAAGGCAAGGCAAGGCAATATAGCACTTTTCAACACAAGGCAATTCAAAGTGCTTTACAAAAAATGAAAGACATTAAGAAAATGGCATTTAAAATCAGTCATTAAAAAGAAAAGCTAATAAAATAAACATTAAAAGAAAAAATACATGGATAAAAGTTACAGTGCAGTCTAAGATATGAATAGTTCAATTAAAAGGAAGGAAGTATGAACGGAAAACCAGACGGAGATTATGGTATTTTTTTTAATGCATTGACTGATTTCATTGCTTTGGTTTCAGTGGATGGTTGTCTGTAGAGTCAGCAGAAGGTTTGCATGTCAGGAATAACTGTGCAAATGTGTGTAAATTGAGAGTGAACCTGTGACCTCTTCTCGAGCAGAAACCTCAAACACTGCCTGGATTGTTGGAGCAGGTGCAAGTATTGAGAAAGAGAAAAATGGTCACTACAATCCCAAACTTGATCCTTGATTGATTAAATTATTATCTTATTCCGCGCCCCATATGCACGGTTGGCATTGATAATTTTCAGCATGTCCTCTTCACACATACACAGGCCCGCCATTGTGGATGTTGGCCTCAGTGACTGAAGAACCATTACCTCTCAAATCTAATCAGATTCCCTTAAGTGGATAACAAGCGTGTCTCCGGCATTTACAGTAGTGAGAAAGCTGAAGTGAAACCAGGACAAACCTTTGTCACACAAAGCAGATGTGGCATCCCTGCTGCAGCTATCCATAGTGGAAAGAAATGTTGATTGACTAACAACTAGCATCTTGTTTGGCCTGGAGAAGACAGATAAGAGCTCTCAGTCACTACTGACAAGTTGAGTATTGTGACTGTTCTTAGTTTGGTGGATGAGCGGTGAATAAGGGCATCCAGTCTAGCTGAGGAAGACAATTTAATGGTGAGTTTCAGTACAATTCCACACGTGCTAAGGCTAAAAGTCCCTGTGGTTTAGCTGTGTTGGGCTTCAAACAAAACATTTACTCTTGCTAGCAATCTGAAACTGCAACATGCTACTTGCTAGCTGGCAACTCAGCAAATGTGTGACTTTTAAGAGAATAATTAACTCACGCTTGGAAACATAAAAATCTAAATCACAAGATTCTTTATTAAATTCCATCTGCGGTTTTATTGTGGAAGCCTTATTTGACCCGATATGAACAGAAGCTAATAGTGGCTAATTGTAGCAAACACAAGGTTTCTATATCTTTCAACAGACTCTTCTCCAATTGTTTTACTGTTACTGTAGCATAGTATTTTACCTTACTGCATAGCATTTAGCATGTCACAAAGTAGTTGAACTTGCCTTCCAGCTTAGTTTTGCTTATGCTTTCATTATTGGTGATTTTACTTTAGAAATGAAACTTGGTTTAGTGGGATTTTTACGAGTAAGTAATACTCTACAGGAGAAAAACTAATAATAAAAAAGCTTCTTTGTGATTTGCAAACCAGAAAAGACGTCTTTCTAATGTAAATAATACAGCAATAAAGACTTTAAAAATATTGCAGTTATTGTTTGGGAAACTGATATTACTAAAATATCTACAATGAAACCAGTGAATGATTGAAAAAAAGCTTGGTTAAAAATGGCATTAGAGTTATTTAAATCATCCATTGGAGAACAAGGGTCAATTGTGCTGCCACAACCCCAGCAGGCAGAAGAGTAGGCTGGGAGCTGATCACCGATTGGTCAGTCAGACAGAAAAGGGCGGTCCGCATGAATTTGTGACAGACGCTAAAGGCAGATATCCTGCAGTGATCAAACCCCGGGTGATCTGACAGTCCAGTGTTTGAAGTGATTATCATGCTACGCAACATAAAGGCTTACCCCCAGCTTTGGGCCTAATTAGTTCACTTAGGACCCTTTATAAGACTTCGGTAGGGGACGGGGAAGTACAGACACTCACTGAGAAGTCAACAGCTCAACAGGATAGCAGCACATCTGGATCCTTAAGGTTGATCTGCTGCTACACCAAAAAAAACAATCTGAAGAAGAGAATGCCACACTTAACTGACTGCAGTTACTTCACGATGCGGGACGCAACCAGAGCTTCAAATGTAAGAATATCAACATTTAGAAACTTGGTTGAATATTTGGAAATCATGTACCAACGCATGTGTAAGGCTTTTATTACTGGTTTGTAAATGTTGACTGTTGGCTGGTTGTATCTGTTTGTATATTAATATGATATGAAAGTAAGCAAAAAAGTGTGAATTTTTGTCAACTTTGGAAAACACTTTTGCTATTGAACAAGATTTTACGTCACAAACAAGTACACTTATATTTAAATATCATACTTCAGAAATGGCCTTCATGGAATCAATCGTACTTCTCATAAAGAAATTTGCTACACATTTAATTACATTTGCTGCAAAAGTGAGTAATAATGGGAAACACCAACCCGCAACTATGTCTCTGTTGAATCAGACCATCACAGCCAACAGCTGCGGTAAAAACCGTGTGTGTTCCTAGTCGGTGTTGTTTTGGGAATGCTTGATCAACAGACTTTTCCTTTGTTTTTGCTGCAGGTACAGAGCCACCTGGAGAACTCCAAGTACCACCTCCACCAGACCCAGAATCAGCAGGTCAAGCAGTACCTGACGCTGGGCTCCAAGCTGCCCTCTTCGACCGGGCAGGGCCACGCTATCCCACACCCCCACGCCCAGGGCCAGTCGCTGGCCACCGTGCCCATCATGAGGAACGGACACATGCCCTCCGTGAGCGACGGCAGCAACCCAAACAGCCCCGTTACCCTCCTCAATATGGCCAATCATGACAGCGAGGTGAGTGGACTGATGGTGGAAACAAAGTGTCTGAATGTGAACTGGGATGTTTCTAAATATATGGAACTGAAATTGAGAAAAAGCCAAGAATGAAATTGCAACAAAGACATTTAACCACAGACTTGATGAAGTGACAGTCATCATTTTTGGTAAATGTCACAACATTCTTGACACGTTTTCCTGTTACCACTCCCTAAATATTTCAGATAAAACCATTTTCTGTTCTGTTTTGCATGCGTCTTAGTTCCTCGATTTAACGTCTGTCATTTAGAGAGATTAATCATGGCAGATTCTTTGTAACCTGTAATATAATTCACAAGTAACCTTCTACATTCTTTGTCTGGAGTACATCCAAGTAATCATCTAAACAAAGTGATGCCATTATTGATTTCCTTCTCTCTCTGATGTGTTCATCAATCACTTCAGACAGCCTCTGATGAGAGAACCCCTTCAAAGGAAGACACTACTTTGATAACAGACAGGATTTTCCCACCAAACCTGCTAATTAACGTAAGACTAGTCGGTGGGGAACTTGTCGGTTATTGGATTAGTCTCTGGACAGTTCCTCCTGTTCCTTGTGTCTATTCTGATTTGTTCGATTTGAATGTTGAGATTTCAAAAAGATCAGACTTGGACAGCATTGCTATTTCGGTACACACATCACAAGCCTGTCCATGAGTAAACTGAAATGACTGCTTTCTTTTAGTTTCCAATGGATGAAGTTATTGATGACCTAATCAGTCTTGAATCCGGTTTCAATGACGGAGGCTTGGATTGCATGGAGTCTAACCTTATGATGCAAAACAATGTAAGTATAAATCCCATCTACATAGTAACGCTTTTAAATTTAAATGTTCAAATGCGACAGACTATCAGTAGTTTTCTCTTTTGTTTTGATTCCTGCACAATCCTTTGGTTTTGTGTGCCTTCTTAGCTCACGTTATTGCAGTTATGCCCAGCGAATGACTTCTGTGTTTTTAAGTTGAATTGGGGACATGAAAGTGAAGTTTCCTCAACCCAATCTTTTGGGCGCAGGCTTGACTTGCTTGGGAAAAAGGGGACCTGTCTTAGTTTGGGGTCGGATTAAGTCTGGAGATGAGTCAAAGTTCATTCGGGGCTTAGCAACATTTCTCACATTACTCAAGAAGACCAACAATGCAGATTAAGTTAAAAAGGAGGATGTTTTTGCACATAGGGTAAAAAAGTTGGAACAAAAGAAGACTTTAAATGTATAGTGACCGTCTCAATGCAAGCCCTATCAGTGGCATTCATGGCCAGGAAGGAATTCTAAAACTCTGGGGAAAAAATGTGGGACAAGGGGTCCATTTGGCCGGGGAACATAGCAACACCTGAGCCAAATACAGGGAGAGTTTGTGGGATGGGAACCCTGGGAATCTGGCCTGACTCCTTAAATACAGAGGAAGACAGATTGGTGCACAAAAGACTCATACACCCTGATAAAGTGACACACAGCCAAACACAACAGATACTGTGACAGAGTAGGAATGAGAGGGGGGAGGAAAAGATAATGCTGGGGAGGGGTGAGAGATTTAGTCGGAGAGAGTTACTGAGCCATTGGATTGGGCTAATGCATACACTCCCTATGGGCTTGTTCAGAAATGATACCATGCTTAAATGGATCAATTCATCCTAATTAGTCATACAGTATGATGCATCACGTCGTTTCGCCGTGTCAACACATCCAGGAACATAGACGGGAGAGGGACTGAAGTGATTGAAAAAGGAGTAGTAGGGGAATTGTTGCAATCTCTCACTTTGATAAGCACTTGTGTCCCCTCCTCCTCCTACTCTTCTCCTCCAATCTTAGTGAGATAATGAGAAAGACACAAACTAAACCAACTGCCGATATCTGACATGTCTGCAGTTCCTTCCGTTTTGTTTCTTCTGCTTTTGCTTCCCATGTGCGACTTGCCATGCAGCCTTATCACGTTCACCAGTCTGGCAGTCAGATTTGACACACAAGTCTTGGATAAAATTGGCTGTGCGCATCGTGGAATGCATGGTGGCTTCTGTAGCCTGTTCCCATAAATACACAAATGCGAATTAGACACACATGTGTGTCAGCACGCTATATCTTGACATCTCTCCAGTCCGTGAAAAGACGCCATTATCGCAGAACCGATGCACGCTTTCCCAGACAAGAAGGGACCCGTAGGAAAACAGTTTTGCCTCTGTTCAAGCAGTTGACCTAGCTAGCCTTTTCATCCAATGGGAGGCTATTTTAAACACAGAGGACATCTCTGTGTTAGGAGCACTTTCAAGTGGAGGGGTTTTGAAAAGGGTGAAAGGGTGGCATTAGCAGATCAAGGCACGAAGTCTGGACAAACCAAACCTCAGACGGCTGCAAGCCTCGGTTGGAGGTTAGGCTTAGATGGGGTAACGCTGGAGGACAACCCTTCATTGACCTGGTTCCAGCAAGGTTAAGTTCTTGTTAGTCTTTTTTACACAAGATGAGCAGGCGATCTGAACATGAAAAAAAGGCGCTGTCCTGCTGAGGGAGACATGTGGGTACTACAACCCCCTGCTGGGAGGGCCAGAGCCAGAGGCCTGGGGGCTGACAACCTTTCTGTGATCCCTTCTCTTGTGATTTTATGTCAATGACAAACAAAGCCACACAGCAGCTAAAAACAACTATTTGTGCTGAGGCTTTTGTTAGAGTGTGAAATGCAAATGCTTTTACATTACATTACATGTTACTTGTTAGACGCTTTTATCCAAAACGACTTACATACTCAATACTGTGGGCAATCCCCACAGGAGCGATTTGGGGTGAAGTGTCTCAGGGACACAACGACATGCTGACTGCAGTGGGGTTTGAACCTGTGCTCCCCTGATCCCAACACCAACGCACTACCCACTGCGCCACACGCCTCCACATGCATCCCCTGTGACTGACCACTTATCTTTCTCTCCCCCCCCTCTTCTCTGTCCTATAGGAGTCCCTCAGTGGCAGCATGCTGGATCTCTATGGGGGTGAACAAGGTATGAACGCCCCTAATGAGTCCCACATCTAACCCCAGAAAGCTCACTGTAAAAAAGGAATACTCAGGTATGAAATCATGCCATAGCTTTAACCTAAGAACAAAGCATTTAATAACATGCTCACATTGATGTTCAAGTTAAAAACACACATTTTGCTTGTTGGTTTAAGACATTTAGGAAACAAATAAAGGCATATTTCTTATACATTAAAGCTAAAGTGTGGTGCTGCAAAGTAAGGCAAAGGTGTTCATTATTTCTAAAACCCAGTCCAATTGCATGTGTCAGACAAATGTCGATTTGTGTCCTGTATTTTTTGAGAAACAGAGCCCTTTTTTTCTCAATGGTTCCACTAATAGACTGCCGAAACGTGTAGACTTTTTGTCACAGTGCAAAACAAATAAAAATACTAACAAAGGGCCCTTTTAGACATTTCTTATTAATGTCATGCATCAAGCAAAGTAGCCTAATTGATTTAGGAAATAGAAAGGACGCCCGAAGAACCCTTTACTCTCCACGGGTAAATAAGTAAATTGCCATCTGTTACGTTTGAGCGCGGGCAGAGAGGACAATTGGCTGTTACACAGACTTTAAATTGTCCTGATTGAATCAACAGAGACAAATTGGGAAATCCAATCTCAGGTCCCCAATTATGTAATTTGGAAGAATGTGAATACAAATATGGATGCACTGGCATTTTTGTCCCCCATCCAGTGTAGTGAATTTGCCAAAGTGTCCTAATTATGGTAGTTAAAAAGTGATCCCCATTTTTGCGTCCACAATGAGCTTCAGACATGCTGGACGGGATATATTGGGCTTATTCAGTGTGTGTGTGTGTGTGTGTGTGTGTGTGTGTGTGTGTGTGTGTGTGTGTGTGTGTGTGTGTGTGTGTGTGTGTGTGTGTGTGTGTGTGTGTGTGTGTGTGTGTGTGTGTGTGTGTGTGTGTAAGGAGGTCAAACTAGTGTCTGGGGTGTGGGCTAATGAACGGGAATTCCACATTCTGGCTGACCCTGCCCCTGAACTCCCTCAAAACAACTGATTGTGTGTCTCCTGACTGGACCTTTTGTGGCGTTTTGCGTACTTACGTTTTCTAAATTAGTGTGCGTTGCTAATAAAGTTGTTCCCCTTCTCTCGACAGAACTTGACACAAGAGGGATGGCGAAAGAGAGACAGAAAAAAAACAACCATAATCTGAGTAAGTGTCTGCCACCGCCTTTCAACTCCCTCACAGTATATCATCTTAAATGACTTATAGCTAGCCTTTAGCGCAGCAGAACACAATGTCTTAATTAACTTTTTCTTCTTCTGCTTGTTCAGTCGAAAGAAGGAGAAGATATAACATCAACTACAGGATCAAGGAGCTTGGGACGCTCATACCAAAGTCGAATGACCCGTAAGTTGCACAATCTGAATGTATTTATTGAAACAACAACCCTTCTTTGCTGCATTTGTCATGGAAATAACTGCAAGACCATTTTCTGGCGAAGAAGCGCATATTCAATTCAGAGCACAAGGACATTTTAAACGTTGTTCATTGAATTCAAATGAGTACTCAAGCACATTTCAGTCATATTTCAAGGGTGCACTTGAACTTCCATTGTAGTCGAAGCTCCACGAGCTGTACCTCCTCTCGCTGGGTCCCGGCAGTTCAGCGCAAAGCATGAATGATGAGGAAAGGGGTCAAATGCAAAGAAGCAGGCCAAGCCATTTGGAATCAAAGTTTGAAGCACAATTGGAACATGGAGATGGAGTGTGGCGCTGAATTGAAATCCACCTGCCATCTTTCCACAAATTGAACTTTGCTTTAAATTTAAATGGAAGGTTACCGTTGTCATCGCGCCATTAACACGAGATAAAGGAGATTATTAATGCTGATCACACCAACCTCTCATTCCTTTGGAAAGGACAATTTTACTACAGCTCCCCTTTACTTAAAAGGAAGCAATAATATCTGCAAAAGAACGACTTGCACTCTAGCACCTCGAGTCCAATACTCAATTTTCTGCTCCGTCTTCCTACTTAGCACTCACCTATTTTTACTCGAGGATTAATTTTACCGAACAAGGAGGTACGAGAATGGACTTTCCACATAGCTACTTAACTATTCTATTAAAATTCCCATTCCCATGTAATGTCCAAGGATGAATAATTGCCCCATGTAAATCACCTTTTCTTATTCATATCATAAAAGCCGAAAAAACCTCTGTGTTAAAACTTTTCCCCCCGTTTCTTTCTTCTCATTTTTTATGAAGGATATTCTGCCGACATCTGAATTAAAGGTTATCTTTTACATTTCTCCTTTCTGCAGAGACATGCGCTGGAACAAAGGCACCATCCTGAAGGCCTCGGTGGAGTACATAAAGTGGCTGCAGAAGGAGCAGCAGCACGCTCGGGAGCTGGAGAGCCGTCAGAAGAAGCTGGAGCAAGCCAACAGGAGACTTCTGCTGAGGATCCAGGTAAGAACATGGAACGGCCTACAAATCGGCATTTAGTTCACATCTTAAGAATCAAAAGTAGATTAAAGGTTACCTATTATGCAAAATCCACTTCTTCATGTCTTTTATACATAAAGACATGTCCCCTCTGTGTAAAAAGATTCTGAAAGTTTCAGGAAAAAAGATTCTCTCTCTTTTTGTCCTGATCCATTTATATAAAAATCTGCCTGAAAACGAGATTTTGGCCACTTTTTAATGTCATAACGATTGTTTGTCTTGTGTAACCATTAGCCAATCACCAACCAAGGTAACCCCCCCCCTCCTTATCACCTGAATCTCCTCCTAGAGCACCATTGTGTTCTTTTTAACCAAATCTCTCTCAGAGGGACGTGGGGAGGGTCTCCTTATTTTCATCTAAAGTAACAGACAGAGAATCAGCACTTTGGAAACAGGGCTGAAACAGAGGGGATGATGGGTAATGCTGCATTGATCTGTTTGGTGTTTGGAGCCAAACACTTCAGAGACATGTTTTGTATATATCTGAGACATATCATATATTGATGAAAAACAGTATAATAGGAGACCTTTAAATCAATGACATTAGCTAGGATATGCTGGGTTTGCTAATAATGGATTATGACAGACATCTTTTCACGTTCTTCTGACGCAAAACCAGAGTTCTTCCTAAGAATTATAACTTTACTGAGACTGATGTCTAATTATCGATCTATTTTAAGCAGCTTCCTCCTGGCTTGTTTTATTATGCCAAAGATGAGTTTGGTAAAGACAGAGGACTCATTCTGACAATCCACCTGACTCATTCATCCCTAATTTCCCCCCCAAACACCCTCCTGCTGTTGTTTACATGAGAGGGTCCTTCCACTCCCCCCATCCCTTAATGCTCAGTGCTAATTACCCAATGAATAAACACAATAAACCCAGCACTTTTCAGTGGGAAATAACCATGTGCCAATGATGGGAAGAACACAACATCTGTTATCATCTTTAAAGATGACCAAACTATCCGAGAAATAGTGACCACAACTGACGTCAAAAGGACAACAAACAAAGAATTGAATTAAACGTGTGTGGGAGTGTGAGAAATATCCAAAGTGTGGGTGGAAAAAGGTGGGGGAATTTTCTCAACACTAGAACATATTTAAATGATCTCTTACTCATGGTTTATTTTCCCTTTACTTTCCAGGAACTTGAGATCCAAGCACGAGCACATGGCCTCCTAAACATGTCTTCAGCGTTGGGGACGGTGGAGCTGTCCTCTCACCTCCTGAAGCAGCAGCAGCAGCAGACGTCTCCCCAGGCCCAGCAGCCCCCCATCTACCAGGAGGACCCTAACAGCGACTACCTCCAGAGGCTAGGGGGTCTTCCTGCCACCATCCCCAATGCCGCCGGGCCCCAGGACCACATCCAGGGCGCAGACGGCTGCCCCACCTTCTCCGACCCGCTGTCCCACTTCACAGACTTCTTCAGCTCCACACTGAAGGAGGAGCACCGGCTGGACGAGATCCTGATGGACGACCCCCTGTCCCCCTTCGGCACCGACCCCCTCCTCTCCACCGGATCACCGGGAGCCGGGTCCAAAGACAGCAGCCGCCAGAGCAGCTTCAGCTCTGGGGAGGACGAAGAACTATAGGTGCCTCTCTACAGGAACTCTCTTCACTGCAGTAATCCCCAGTGGGAAAGGCCATTTAAAGACAATACTGACCTCTCACTGGGTCCTTTAAAGGTCACCTATCATGCTATATTTAGGCAATAGCATAGGTCTCAGATATATAATTAAAAAAACAAAACATGTCTAGCACTTTGAATTGTCGCGTACAGAAAAGTGCTATATAAATAAACTTGCCTTGCCTTGCCTATGAAGTGTTTTGGTCAAAAAACCAAACAGATCACCCATTCTAGCCATGCCTCATATCCATCTATTTCTCTTCCTGTTACAAAAGTGCTTATTCTGGGTATGAACAGGTCTCTCTTGAGAATGAGACCCCGTGTCTCAATGAGATTTTCACCTGTATAAATAAAGGCTAAACATTTTTATTTTTTTTAAAACTGAAAAATAAAATGGGGGCGGGGCTTATGCCGGCTCACCTGGCAGATACTGTCTAAAATGCTGCGGTGATGAAATACAAGGATTATTAGATCAAGGATTATTTCTGAAACAGTCTGGAGCTCAAAGGCTTTCTCTCTTGCCGGTTATACCACAAGTTGAATTCCTTTTTATTTCCTGCTTCTTCTCACACATGCTCTCCAGTACAGGTTAGCTCTGAGTGTTAGCGATGCTAATGTAAACACCGACCATATTACGTCCAAAACAGTCGGGCTGCTCCTGTTCCTCCATCAGCTCTTTTTTGTATACTTTGTACAGACAATGTTTCTCTGCCTCCCACATAGAGCGGGAACAGACTCACAAGAAAAAGGGAGTCATGTATCAGCCTTTAATGTAAATAACTACTGTTTTTAAAAACACTGTGGTAGCTGTACACTGTAAATATGCAAAGTAATCACTGGAAAACCTGCCAAACTGTCCTTTAAAACAAAAAAAAGCACTGCTTCACAAAAGCATTGAAAAACAGTTGCATATGTGTCTTATCATTATCGTCTTGTACGGATGTACTCACCACGATGCCTAACCTTTGTTAGTCTATTTTCAGTGTTTTTGTTAAATAATGTATTTATATGTGTTTTCATGCATGTATTCTCGAAAAATATATATATTATTATCTAACATGTTATCTTTTGTATTCTTAGTAGGGGTGGGAAAAATATAATAAACCGCTTTTTTTGTCATACATGATTTTGACTTCCTGTTGTCATCTCACAGAAGAAATAATATACTTGAGGTGTGTATTAACACACCCTCGATACAAAATACACACAACATACGGACATTGTTATACCAAAATACTACATGAACTCCACTTCAAAGGAGAAGAAAATAAATCATAATAATGATAATAACAAGAAATGGAAGTAGAAATATCTAGAATTTGAAAAAGGCAATATTACAGTATGTAATATTATTACAGTATTTGACTAAATCATAAAATACAATCAATGTTTTATTCCAAAATACTCTATGAACTCCACTTCAAAGGAGAACAAAATGTAACTAATGGAAATTAAAATAATAACATAAACACGACTAATTATACAATATACTAATAATACTTTATACTATAATAGAGTTTTTTATAGTTGAGTTTTTAAAAATAATGATAATAATAATATTGAAAGAAGAAGAAAGAAGAAATGTCTAGAATTTGAAAAAGCATTATTATGTTATATTATTACAGTAGTTTGTGTTCTACATTGAATGGAAGATCTTTTTCCCGCACAGTCTTTGAAAAACATACAATGTAAACTCAACACATGATGGTAGAAATATGATACAACAAGATGACCAGCGGCTGACTGAGTGTAAAAACATCTTGCTGGACGGCAGCAAGGCAGAGAGAGTGAACAAAGGCAGGAAAGTTTCACAGTGGAAGGTGAAGGGCCGGCTTACAAGATGGCTGATTGGCAATGAGTGGCAGAGAGGAGGGAAATTGGATAATAAAGACAAGTAGAGGAGGAGTAATAATTCTTACGAGCCTACTGTGAGCTGATGAGCCCTCGAGGATGAATAACGGTGAGGCATGAAGAGCTGCTCTGAGAGCTGTTAGCTAAAGATTCCTGTGAGGTAAGACCAGGGCCGCCCCTCCCTACAGGCTGATCATGCAGACTGCGTGGGGCCTCACCTCGCGGAGGGGACCTCATGTCGCGGAGCGGGCCTCATCTCGCGGAGGGGGCCTCATCTCGCGGAGGGGGCCTCATCTCGCGGAGGTGTCCTCATCTCGCGGAGAGGCCTCATCTCGCGGAGGGGGCCTCATCTCGCGGAGGTGTCCTCATCTCGCGGAGAGGCCTCATCTCGCGGAGGGGGCCTCATCTCGCGGAGGGGGCCTCATCTCGCGGAGGGGACCTCATGTCGCGGAGCGGGCCTCATCTCGCGGAGGGGTCCTCATCTCGCGGAGAGGCCTCATCTCGCGGAGGGGGCCTCATCTCGCGGAGGGGGCCTCATCTCGCGGAGGGTTCTTCATTATGCGGAGGGAGCCTCATCTGAAGCTCAAATGCGGCGCACCTACAGTGTAAGCGCGCCCCCCCCCCCCCCCCGACCCCCCCACCACAAGTTGGCCGGGGGCGGCCCTGGGTAAGACGCATCAAGTGATCCAAACTGCAGGAAACTGTTGATATCATTAATAAAGTTCGCTGAAGAAAGTTTGTTTGTGACACAAAACTTTGACCTCATTACGATCATGAATCTGATTTGTCTATTCATTCCAAATTCATGCATTAATAATACAACAAACACACGAGCGCCGATACTTCCCAAATGGATTTTCTCCAAATCAAAGCCTCTCTGAATTAATGTTTAAGGGTGTTATTAGCGTGTGTTTCTCTGTAATTAAATCAAAACATTCCTCGCTCCTTTTTACCCGCAAATAAGGCCCGAACCAATCAATCGCGCTCTACAGAGAAAAGTCCAACTACAAAGCGGTGAGTGATGTTTACGTGTAATTGGCCAAAGCAGTTATGGAAGGTAAATATGGATTTCCAGGAAAGGGTATCTAAGAAAGAGTCAGCATGATTACAATTTCAAAAGGCTCAATTTACATTTTGTAATTCAATGATTTTTTTTCTCATCTTACCCAACTTGGGAAAAATACACAAATCCAATTAGCTGGATGAAAGTCAGGGGTAGATGAATACAAATACTCTCTATTTTAATGGGAGTATTGACAGAAATACTATTTTTTTGAAGGCTTACCTCAAGAGAAAAAGCCTTGAAAAGTCAAATTAAACTTCCTCACATTAATTATTCCTCATATCAAAGGCCATCATGGACAAAGTTCAAGGCCAGTTATGCGCAGGCTTCAAAAGGAAATGTGGTCGGATGAGGCAACAGTGACATCAGAACAAGCGACTTTTTATTTGGTATATCGCAGCTCATCAACCCACGCTTTCGGAGACTCACAGGAAAAAGTGTCTACAGTGGACTAAGAAAGGTATCAGACAGCACTGTTATGTTAGAGACATTAGCTGAGAGGAAGACGTCAATTTAAACATCTAAAGAAAAATTTGGGAACGTTTGTAATCCTTCTCACTCTCTCTCACGTCCTCCGAATAAGAAACAGATTTCAGCTATGCGCCCAAAAATGAGCACCTTGTAAAAACAATCTTTCCACTTTGTGTGTGTGTTACTAATGCATGCACAGCAAAATGGTCTCCTAAAAATAATGACCTCACTCTTAGGATAACAAGCTGGCTGCTGTGTCATATTTCAAACAGCAGGTGGCAGCAGTGTGCTGTGCTTATTCATCAAAAGTAAACCCAAAGCAGAAGAGTGGTACAACATGTGTGGTGGATTATTTAAAACAAAACACAATCAAGTAAAATAAAAAGAGTATAACGAGACTACTTGCACATATGGCGTAAGTTCCTCGGCAGTATATGCTAAAAGTCTGTAGGTAGTTCCTATACTTCCTGGTAGCGACTGACAAATCTAAAGAAAGCAAGTGATGTTGTGAAGCTCACAGCGCAGTCGTTCTGTCACCAAAACAATGTTGTCAGGCCTCCTGCCACCCACCAACACTGACACGCCACTGAGGAGGAGAAGCTGTCACCTGTGCACATGCCACAGCTGCCAGAGAGCTACAATACACTCACCTGTCGAGCCTGCCATTGGCAACTCTTAATCACCTCCTGCTGAGGTGACTCACTTCTCACACACACACACACACACACACACACACACAAAGGGCTCGCACACACACACACACACACACACACACACACACACACACACACACACACACACACACACACACACACACACACACACACACACACACACACACACACACACACACACCACACACACACACACACACACACACACACACACACACACACACACACACAAACAAGCCTAATCACACACAGATATGCATACACACACACACACAGGTGTGTATCTCACACAGCTAGCGGAGGGGAAAAAATACCCACCTAAAAGCCCTCATCAGTATCTTGGACTGTGACAAGACTTGTGCACAAATTAGGTGAAATTTGAGTGGGAATAACAATATGACAGGCGGCAGGGAAGCACCAAACATCAAGTGTCATTTCTATTTTCAGCCAGGAATTCGGAGCGGTGTGACAAACAACACCGTGCTGCCTCTCAATCGGTCAGCCTCGCTCCTGGAAATGTGGCAAACTAGGCCTCGGTTGGAGTTTTAACTCCAGGAGACAATAGGAAATGATCTGAGGTCGAGGTCAAAGTTAAAATAGAAGAGGACAACAATTAATTTAATTTCCTTTTTATTTGTTCCATTCATGGCATGCACAACTTAATGTATAACAATTATTTACAAAACATTTCTCTATAAACAAACGATACCTGAAAAGCAGCAGGGAGAAGAACATAATCTTATATTACCTGCCCCATTCTAAAAAAAATAAAAATAAATAGAAATAGCTGGTCTGTCCTTCATATGTTCTTATTCACAGCCAATCATAACAGTATCGTGGGAAAATAAGAGAAACACAAAAACGTACAAAAAAGAAATACTTAGTTCCCACCGTTAACGGAAAGAAACAAAACATCACATGTACAAAGAAAAGGGAAACATCTGAGTCCTACTGGAGCATCATATGTAATGATAAGGAGCAACATCAAGTAATTCCTCCCATGATTCTTTAGGGCATCGGCCTCCATGCTGCTTTTATTAAAGACCACACCCTGCCCAGCGCTCCACAAACTCCCACGTCACTAGACGAGGCCCCACGTGCATTAACGATGGAACACAAGAGAAGTGAAAAAAAGAGTGGCTGGGCCTTCTCGAGATGCTATAAAATTAATGCGATTCCCAGAGTTTTTATGAATCGAGCCAGATGCCAAATACATAACTTCAAACAAATTGACTTCCAATTATTGGTGCGGCACACCACTTCCAGATGTGCAACAGATGGGGCCGGGGCGACCAAAGGTGTCTCAACCCGCGCTTTGTGTTATTCCGCAGTAAAACGGCAGTACAGTTGTATGTGTTTTAAATCACCGTGGGCTGTGGGCTGGAGGTGAAGGGAAGGACAGAGGGATAGCGCCGGCAAAACAGAAAAATGAAAGCACATCATTAGGAAAATGTAAATGTACGCAGCACAGACAGTGGAGCTCCATATGTAGCCTTACTACAGCCTGATATTATGTAAAGGCAGATGAAATGTTGAGGCTAAAAGCTGGACCTGTATCAAGGAGGTGGGGGATTCACAAATGTAAATGTTAATGTGATCTCTGCTGTATCTCCCAGTGCTGGGATTAACTGGTAAAAAGGAACAATTATGGGTTTGGCTTTTTTTGTGCATATGTTAATAGCTTACAATATCCTTGCATGCATAAAGTGCATTAGATATGATTAGAAGATATCCACAATACGTAGCTTTATAAACTAGAAGGTTTACAATAAGTAGCATTGCACTC